TGGTTCTTTAGGATTCCCGGGGGGGGAAAGTATTCCCGGGGGGGGAAACCAATTTTTTTCCTGGTGGTCCCGGTTGACCTAGTAATCAAATATAAAGTGTTTTCGAATTGTTTTTAGTAAGTTTTAACTATATTTAAAGCAGAATAACTTTCAGAAAAATTTAGAAAAATGTTTGAAAAAGTCGAAAATTTGGTCATTTTGGGTCTATTTTTCGACCTAATTTTTAATTTTTTACATTTTTTTGGTTAAAATGTGTGTAGTTTTTATGCACAGGGATAGTTAAAAACAATTTAGAAACGCATCCGCAATTTATACAAAAATCTAGGCTTTCGCCGAAAAAAATTTGTTTTCCCCCGGGAATACTTTCCCCCCCCGGGAATCCTAAAGAACCGACTTTCTATTAACTTGCTAGGCATTTCAAGACATACAAAAAAGTTCGGCCGCCCCGAAACCCCCCACCCACACGATAATGGGAAAGAACCACATTTTAAGCTGGGTTACGGTATTGGCTAAAATTAGTGACTCTTTAAAAGTAGAAAACGCCTCCAGGCTTTATTGAAAACCATTTACCAAGTTTCCCGTGGCAGACCGGTCCCCTAGCCCAATTTGGTCGGTTGTGGCTATTCGCGTTCTCTCTCTCTCACTCTCTCTCTCTCTCTCTCTCTCTCTCTCCTCTTCCATTGGCATAATAAGCTTTTCCGTCAGCTTTCCCCCCCATACTTATTTAGCTTCACGAACGTAGCCTTTTTCACAAGAAACCCTAGCCAACCACAAAGCCATCCCCACGTCATCCCCCCGTACTACAGTGCCCTACAGAATTTTATACGTACTTTTCCCCTAAATTATTTATTGGTTCTTGGTTGATAGCCGAATAAATAGTTGCTTAGCCGCTATCACTCGCTTGCCACATACAAAATAACGGCAACACACACGCGTCAAATTGTTCGGGCATGACTGTAGTATGGTGGTGTACGCGCTTCTGTCCTTGTCCTCTCGGCCTGTCTCGTGATACATTACATTAATCTGCCCGTTTCTCGTCCGGCCATTCTTTTCTAATTCCTTTCTTTGTAGTAGTGTCGTGTCGGCCGGAACCTCTACACCACACCACCCCGTCTCCTCGAAGGCCTCTATCAAGATGCAGCAGCTTGTCAAGGTTTTTCTTGCTTTTTTCGTGCGTCATATATACAGACACCGATTTTCTAAGTGAGCAGAGTGTTGCGTGTAACCCTACAGAGAACAAAACAGGGTCTGGTTCATTAGCGGGGGGACCCAATTTCCTTTCTTCACCCTAACTTGCATATCACTAAAACAGAAACTATTTTTATTAATGTACGGTGCTTTTGATAGTTTTTTGATTCTTATCGATTTCAAGGTCTTAAATCTACTATATATAAATTTCTAATGTCCGTCTGCCCGACGTCCGTCCGACCGGGAATTCAACGTGCCCCCAGGGCATGCCCGGGGAGAGGGGCGGGGCCAGAGGTCACAGGGGAGGCCGTTCGCGCATTAATGATAGCACAAACCCTCAAACAAAAGAATAATTGTTTCGCAACGGTTTTTATTGTTTTTTTTTAGTATTAAAGAAAGGGAAACAAGTTTCTTTCAAGGGTATTCTAGCCATTACGCGTTTCTTAGATGTGTTTTAGTATCTAAGAAGGGGAAATAACTTTCTTTCAAGGGTGTTCTAGCCATTACGCGTTTCCTAGATGTTTTTTTAGTATCCAAGAAGGGGAAATAACTTTCTTGCAATGGTATTCTAGCCATTACGCGTTTCCTAGATGTTTTTTAGTATCTAAGAAGGGGAAATAACTTTCTTTCAAGGGTATTCTAGCCATTACGCGTTTCTTAGATGTGTTTTAGTATCTAAGAAGGGGAAATAACTTTCTTTCAAGGGTGTTCTAGCCATTACGCGTTTCCTAGATGTTTTTTTAGTATCCAAGAAGGGGAAATAACTTTCTTGCAATGGTATTCTAGCCATTACGCGTTTCTTAGATGTTTTTTAGCAGACATGGCAAAACGGCCGCCGCGGCCGGCCGGAAGCCGCATGCAAATTTTTTTCACGGCCGGGGCCGGCCGCAAAGCCGCAAAAATTACCCACGGCCGCAGCCGGGCCGGGCCGCAAAAACGTCCTGGGGCCGCAGCCGGCCGCGGCTTTTGCAATGAACTGCTCGTTGCCTTTTTCCTTTTCAGAAATCATGCAAATCAGTAAAATTCAACTCGAAATCCTAAAAATAGGTCATTATTTTCGCCATGGTGCAGCCGCGGCCGGCCGCGGCCGGCCAGACTCTTTTTTGGAGACGGCCGCGGTGGCTGGGATTTATGCTAATTTCATATGCGGCCGGCCGCGGCCGGCCATGGGTAGCTACGGCCGGGCCGGCCGGGCCGGGCCGCGGCCACTTGCCATGTCTGTTTTTTAGTATCTAAGAAGGGGAAATAACTTTCTTTCAAGGGTATTCTAGCCATTACGCGTTTCTTAGATGTGTTTTAGTATCTAAGAAGGGGAAATAACTTTCTTTCAAGGGTGTTCTAGCCATTACGCGTTTCCTAGATGTTTTTTTTAGTATCCAAGAAGGGGAAATAACTTTCTTGCAATGGTATTCTAGCCATTACGCGTTTCCTAGATGTTTTTTAGTATCTAAGAAGGGGAAATAACTTTCTTTCAAGGGTATTCTAGCCATTACGCGTTTCTTAGATGTTTTTTAGTATCTAAGAAGGGGGAATAACTTTCTTTCAGGGGTGTTCTAGCCATTACGCGTTTCCTAGATGTTTTTTTAGTATTAAAGAAGGGAGAGAACTTTGTTTCAAAGAGTATTCTAGCCATTTCGAGTTTCTTAGATGTTTTTTTAGTATCAAAGAAGGGAGAGAACTTTGTTTCAAAGAGTATTCTAGCCATTTCGAGTTTCCTAGATGTTTTTTTTTAGTATCAAAGAAGGGAGAGAACTTTGTTTCAAAGAGTATTCTAGCCATTTCGAGTTTCTTAGATGTTTTTTTAGTACCAAAGAAGGGAGAGAACTTTGTTTCCAAAGAGTATTCTAGCCATTTCGAGTTTCTTAGATGTTTTTTTAGTATCAAAGAAGGGAGAGAACTTTGTTTCAAAGAGTATTCTAGCCATTTCGAGTTTCTTAGATGTTTTTTTAGTATCAAAGAAGGGAGAGAACTTTGTTTCAAAGAGTATTCTAGCCATTTCGAGTTTCTTAGATGTTTTTTTTTAGTATCAAAGAAGGGAGAGAACTTTGTTTCAAAGAGTATTCTAGCCATTTCTGAGTTTCTTAGATGTTTTTTTAGTATCAAAGAAGGGAGAGAACTTTGTTTCAAAGAGTATTCTAGCCATTTCGAGTTTCTTAGATGTTTTTTTAGTATCAAAGAAGGGAGAGAACTTTGTTTCAAAGAGTATTCTAGCCATTTCGAGTTTCTTAGATGTTTTTTTAGTATCAAAGAAGGGAGAGAACTTTGTTTCAAAGAGTATTCTAGCCATTTCGAGTTTCCTAGATGTTTTTTTTTAGTATCAAAGAAGGGAGAGAACTTTGTTTCAAAGAGTATTCTAGCCATTTCGAGTTTCTTAGATGTTTTTTTAGTATCAAAGAAGGGGGAATAACTTTCTTTCAAGGGTATTCTAGCCATTACGCGTTTCCTAGATTTTTTTAGTATCAAAGAAGGGAGAGAACTTTGTTTCAAAGAGTATTCTAGCCATTTCGAGTTTCTTAGATGTTTTTTTAGTATCGAAGAAGGGGGAATAACTTTCTTTCAAGGGTATTCTAGCCATTACGCGTTTCTTAGAGGTTTTTTAATATCAAAGAAGGGGGAATAACTTTCTCTCAAGGGTATTCTAGCCATTACGCGTTTCTTAGAGGTTTTTTAATATCAAAGAAGGGGGAATAACTTTCTCTCAAGGGTATTCTAGCCCTTACGCGTTTCCTAGATGTTTTTTAGTATCAAAGAAGGGGGAATAACTTTCTTTCAAGGGTATTCTAGCCATTACGCGTTTCCTAGATGTTTTTTAGTATCAAAGAAGGGGGAATAACTTTCTTTCCAGGGTATTCTAGCCATTACGCGTTTCCTAGATGTTTTTTAGTATCAAAGAAGAGGGAATAACTTTCTTTCAAGGGTATTCTAGCCATTACGCGTTTCTTAGATGTTTTTTAATATCAAAGAAGGGGGAATAACTTTCTCTCAAGGGTATTCTAGCCCTTACGCGTTTCCTAGATGTTTTTTAGTATCAAAGAAGGGGGAATAACTTTCTTTCCAGGGTATTCTAGCCATTACGCGTTTCCTAGATGTTTTTTAGTATCAAAGAAGAGGGAATAACTTTCTTTCAAGGGTATTCTAGCCATTACGCGTTTCCTAGATGTTTTTTAGTATCAAAGAAGGGGGAATAACTTTCTTTCCAGGGTATTCTAGCCATTACGCGTTTCCTAGATGTTTTTTAGTATCAAAGAAGAGGGAATAACTTTCTTTCAAGGGTATTCTAGCCATTACGCGTTTCTTAGATGTTTTTTAATATCAAAGAAGGGGGAATAACTTTCTCTCAAGGGTATTCTAGCCCTTACGCGTTTCCTAGATGTTTTTTAGTATCAAAGAAGGGAATAACTTTCTTTCCAGGGTATTCTAGCCATTACGCGTTTCCTAGATGTTTTTTAGTATCAAAGAAGAGGGAATAACTTTCTTTCAAGGGTATTCTAGCCATTATGCGTTTCCTAGATGTTTTTTTAGTATCAAAGAAGGGGGAATAACTTTCTTTCAAGGGTATTCTAGCCATTACGCGTTTCCTAGATGTTTTTTAGTATCAAAGAAGGGGGAATAACTTTCTTTCAAGGGTATTCTAGCCATTATGCGTTTCCTAGATGTTTTTTTAGTATCAAAGAAGGGGGAATAACTTTCTTTCAAGGGTATTCTAGCCATTACGCGTTTCCTAGATGTTTTTTAGTATCAAAGAAGAGGGAATAACTTTCTTTCAAGGGTATTCTAGCCATTATGCGTTTCCTAGATGTTTTTTTAGTATCAAAGAAGGGGGAATAACTTTCTTTCAAGGGTATTCTAGCCATTACAAGGTCTGCAAAAGAATAAAATCACCCTGTTTTTCCTTGCCCCCCGGGAGGGCCAGTCGATAGCAGCCGCGAAGCGGCTGATAGCGACTGGTAGCTTTCTAAAAAAACTATAAAGTTCTGAATTTTTACACAATTTGGCATACCTTTTGAACAAAAAGTCAAACTTGCCAAACTTTCTCTATCTTTGGCTGGTAGGAAACGATTACCATCCCCCGCCCCCCGCTAATGAAAAAGCTCCAAAAAAGCGCGCACATAGGAATTCGCGTCATCCGAGGAGCGATACCTGGCCGACATCGAGCTGGCGATGGAGGGTTTTGTGCGACCGTTAAATGGCGTCATCCCAGCAGACGACGTCGCTAGCTTCCGAATGAATTGGGACGAATTGAGGGCTCTATCGAGAAACATTTGTCGGCGGCTTCATCAAGGCAGCGGCCCAGGTTTTCATAATCGCTCGATTTTCGTGTAAACCGGTATCCAGGCGAAGCCCTGCTCTCCGAACTCGACGGCCTACAAGCATTCCCGGCCTTCTGCTTCAAGCAACAATCCGCTATCGCGGATATCGAGCGCGTATTGCGCGACCCGAACGTGCAGCGTATCTACGCGGAATGTTGCAGCAACCCGGCGACTCGTGGCATGAGTCTCCACACGTTGTTCTTGGTGCCGTTGGGAAGGATCACGAGGTGTACTACATCATTCTTTCGACAAATAGATGTAGATACCCGCTTCTGCTTGAAAAGATGATCGAGGAATGCGTACCGGAAGAGGCTTCTTCCCTCGAAGCTGCTCACCAGGTTACGGTGAATCTGCTCGACAGTATAAACCGTAATCTTGCCGAGGTTGGCTATACATAGGTTAGGAGTTTCTGGAAACCCCTTTCAGTCAGAAACCATGTGTCTATTGGCATGGTGCCAATCCCACGTTCGTGTCCCCGTACAGCCACCGCTTGAATTCGCCTCGCCAACCCGTCAACTGGTCAGTGGCGTACTGGCCGTTTTTCAACGCGTTTTTAGGGGTCCCGTAAGCTGTTGCATAGTGGAATCCTGTGGAAGGCGCGATCCGGGCGACAACTCGTCGCCATCCTCTTTAACGACTTTTTATTGCTAACTACACCGAGTGAAACTGTGGCCAATGTGGGTGTATTTTCAAGCCAATTTTAACGCAATTTTTCTAGACGAGCGGTTTTCGCCTTTCTCCCCAGTCGGAATTGACGCTCACCACCTACCGTAGCCCACTGCTGTTGCACAAGTTGATGATCAACGATCGAGAGACGGAGACTGAGGGGCAGATCACCCTCAAGCATGGTGGGGATTAGTAGGACAAAATTCAGTAAACGACGATCATTTCTGTAATGCCTTTAACAGTTTTCTTACATTTTTCAAAAGGAAGTTTTGACGATTTTCCATACATTCTGACCAAAAATCCTCACTGCTCGAAAATTTTAATAATTTTTATGAGCTGGTTGGACCCAAAAGGCGAAAAGTTCTAGATTTCACTATTTGGCGACTACAGAACACAGCCTAATCCTGAGCCTAATCCTAAGCCTAACCTATGCCTAAGCCCAAGTCTAAGCTTAATCCTAGGCCTAAGCCTAAGCCTAAGCCTAAGCCTAAGCCTAAGCCTAAGCCTAAGCCTAAGCCTAAGCCTAAGCCTAAGCCTAAGCCTAGACTAACCCTAAGCCTAAGCCTATGCCTATGCCTGAGAACGAGAACCTAAACGTCTGTATTATTCTGGAGATTTTAGGCGACCACGACGTAATATCCCTCCGTGCAACCAGTGGCAATGCGTCTCGCCTTTGGTTATCCCACCTCAGACCCGCCATCAATGAGGCCATCTCCAGAGAGGGGGTAAAGCCTCAAGGACCCAACTTTTTACCCGCTCTCAGCTCCGCACCCCGGCCAACAAAAAGGAGGTCCTTGGTCGGCTACTCGTCGAGCTCGTCAGCCTTAGCATCGTCAACGTGAAAACGTCAATGCCGGTGCAACAGGTCGGACTGCGTGTCTCCCTCCACGACAACTCCAAGACGTTCGCCGTTGATTTGAACAAAAAGGGAGAGCTTGTGGTTGGTGGAATACCAAGTGGCCAGACCATATTTCTAGGACTCGTGTCAGTTTCTTTTCACTGAGAAGACGGGCATGATTCGATTGTTGCTGGTCGAGCCGCGGGTTTTTTGCCCGGATGTGCCGTTGATAGGCTAGTAGCGAGAATGGATCGTGAACCTATGTATTTTCAGAAGAGACGGCGTTGCCCTTCCAAAATCTCTTCAATCAGGGCCCTGGTGGGGCATTTGCCGTCCGGAAAGAAATCGATCTGTTGGCCAATTCGTCAGGTATTGCTGAAGAAGGATCTTTCGCATTATCGGGGGGTGGGGCCATTTTTTCAAATTTAAATAGTGCCTGTTTGTAAACTGTGTTTTACTATTCCCAACCGTAAAAACTTTACAAATTTCGATTCTTTGAAAATGTTTAAAAAATTTTCTAGTTGAAATATTGTTTTGATTTGCTAAAAATACCATTAAAATACTTCCTATTCAGTTAATAGGCATTGCTAGACTTATACAAAATATTTTTGCACCCCCGATAATGCAAAAAGCCCTGAAGAAAATTCGAAAACATTTTTCTTTTCAGCTTCGAATACCAAACAACGCGCCGTTGCAACCGTTCGCTTTGCTCTTCACATGTACAAGCCTGATTTTTACTAATTTATAGTTATGTATGAATCTTCTTAGCGATACCATTTTTCTGTGCATTTTCAGTTGTCAGCTTTAGTCAGCCCAACCACGCAATTATCCCCCACAATCGGGTGCTAAATTCACTTAACAGATTACCGGCAATGTTCTCACTTTCTGCGCCAAAATAAAGATTTATTTATATAGCACGAGCAAAATGAGATCACGTGGAAACGGTCGAGTCGAAAAGTTAAGGCTTTACGATTTCTGAAGGGATGGGAAAGACGAAAGGTGTGGTGGTGACCTTTGGGCTAATGGGAAACTGAAGTTATTTTACAAAACGTTTACTCATAATACTATTTACACATAAAAACATCGGATTAAAAAGATGGGGAACCGGACAAGGTTTTACCGGTTCTGAAGCAAATTCCTTAAAAGTTATCTGGAACCCGAAAGTAATGGTAAGGTGCAGTGCGGAACCCGATCGGTCTTTCAAGCGACCGAAGCTCGGCGGAACTTTTGGAGCAGTTCAAGCCGATCGAATGCCTTGGCGGGAGGGTAGCGGAACGAGCCGAGGGAAATCTCGTTGGCCTGGAGGACGACCAGTTGACGATCAACTTGCTGGAAAACAGGGATTTTTTTAAACGAAATTTTATTTCTATGCTCATATCGCTGGAAAGAGGCCAAGCGCGATCGATACCCAGAGAGACAGAGCGAGAGAGAGAGCGAGAGGAGAGAGAAAGGGAGAGTGCGTAAGTGAGAAAGAGAGGGAGAGAGAGAGCGCGAGATAGAGAGAGCGAGAAAGAGAGAGAGAGAGAGAGAGAGAGAGAGAGAGAGAGAGAGCGAAAGAGAGAGAGATAGTGTAAGCGAGATTGAGAGAGCGAGAGTGAGAGAGACTCAAATATCGAAAACTCTAGCCTCAAAGCACGGCTGCCCATCGTGATATCCGACCCATATCTTCTGTATTTCTGTCTGCACGTGCTGCTCAAGTCGATGCACAAAATGTGGCATCTCACATCGGAATGGCGGTGGTTGCAGTTGAGCACGGAGATGTGCAGGCAGATTCAGTAATATTAACCTTAAACTTTCCTTTAGGCTACTATTCACGGGGCTCAAACCTGGTCTTCCGCTTTTGCTCCTCGCAACTGGCGTGTGGATCTCGTTTCTGCCAGATGGCAATGATGCGGAGTTGCACCTAGGAATTCGGGAATTTGCACCTTGAAGCGAGCTAGAATTTCGAAAAAGCTAATTTTACTTTTTTGGGCAAATGCGCGGCAACGGCTGGTAATTCACATGCCGACGATGACGACCGCGACATCAACGAGTACCGGATTTTTGGAGAAATCGAGCTTAGGAGATTTCTAAATACAATTCCCTGTCATATTACGCCAATTTAGTACGGATCATTAATTTTTCGGTTCTTTCTCATTAGCGGGGGGGGACCGAATTGTTTTGTATAAGTGAAATGTCTACCAACTTAATGGCAAGTGTTTTAATAATTTTTCTGTAAGAAAATAACTATATTTAACTAGCAAATTATCTAAAAAAGTCTGAAAATTCTAAATTTTGGGCAAGATCGGCGGGTTTGGTCGAAACATCGTTATTTTTAGCATTTTTTAAAATAAAACTTTGTATTGTTTTCCTTTTTCGGAATATTAAAAACTATTTAGAAACACTTCCACTATTTATATTTGGAAATTAGATCTTAAGAGGAAATCTTGCCCCCGCCCCGATAACGTGAAAGAACCGAACTTTTCTACTTGACCCACCTGGTCCTGGCCACCTCATATTCACACCCAGCCCCAGTTTTATATGTCGCCCAAATAGCTCGTACTTTTGTCCGCAGCGGACCCGGGAGACGATCTAAAAATTTCCAGATTTCAAACCCAACCCCACAAAACCTGTAACTAACGGCTGATGGCAAAAGCTGTCTTTTGAGCGCCGTCTGCTCTCGCTGCCGTATCTGAAGGCCGCAAATTTATCCATTGCGAGAAAGCGTCAAACCAACCTCGGCTTATTTATTGGGCTTGAAAAAGTTCGGCTTTCCCTCGGGTTCCTAGGCATTTCGGGTAGACATGCCTAGGTGAAAAGTCGCCGTGATATACCCAAATTCAGCTTACCGTCGAATAGTCGCCCTGGGCTTGGACGGAAAGCCAAAAAAGTATGAAGGCAACCGGGAGGCGCATCTGAAATGATCTTTGAAAATATTGTACGGTAATAATGTCGAAACGCCACCAAAAATGTCGAAAAACGTCGAAAAAGTTAGACTTTTAACGTCGAAATAGATTACTAGATAACTAGATACAGTAGCGAGTTACTCATCGTCCAAGATTTTCGACTAGATATTTCAGAAAACAAGTGGAAGTTTGGGTTGTGGATCGGAGGGTATGGGTGACGAATCGGATCAGCTGGCTCAGGAGGAGAAAAAGATTTTTATCGGGGTCACCCATCCCCAAAAACGCGAGGTCGTGTTTTTTGGGCTACTACGGAACGTGGAAAACTCAGGAAGGAAAAGGTGGCAAAACGGCTGCGCGTTGCGTGTCCATTAGAATGAAGAATCGATCAAGAATCCATAGCACCCAAAATCCATCGGCCTTGTCGGCCCCTTTAAACGGCTTCACCCCTGTGAAGGCGATCAGCTGTAGGTCGACCCAACGGGAAATGGGTCGCCCCGATCCAAACAGGAATTTCTACGTACTCCACCCGGGGGCGTTCGGTTCTTTGTCATTTGCGGGGGTGAAAATGTTTAGATAAAAACGAGGCGGCCGCCGGCTCGAATCAAAGAGAGCCTTCCCGTGGATGGGGACAGATTGTACGTGGTGATCCCCGTTGACGGACATGATATGGGCCACTTTTCAAGCACGCATTCGAAAGCGAGGAATGGCAGGCATTGGCTGGGTACAGGGACGTAGCGTAATACCGGCCCCGGGGGCCCGCCCCCCCCCCGAAATCGGCCGGGGCCCGAAAATTTCATAAGGGGGGACCCTTATGATTTTATTTTCTCAAATATTTTGCTGCCTGCGGCGCTATTTTTTTACGTTTTTACGGCTATTTTTAGAGCTATGGAACCTTTTTTCAAAAATCTTTGCCTGCGGCGCTGTTTTCTCGTTAATGTTTTGAGTTTTTTGGAAAAATTTTTTGGGGCCCCCCCGAAATTTTTTTCTGGCTACGCCCCTGGCTGGGTATTCCCGGAAGGTGAAGGCTTTGAAACGAAGACGATTCTAAGATTTTGATGTCTAAAGGGGCTAGGAAGCGCGAGAATTTTACCGATTCTATCAGCTTGGTATCGGCTTGTCGGCGAAATGCATAGCGGAGGAAAGCTGTTTTAAAGGGACTGGTAAGTGCGAAAATCGACCCCTCTGATCTGTTAGGTCTAGACAACTTAACTTTGTTGAAGCTCTCCAAAAAACCCATAAAACTACGCGGTGATCTGCATAGTATATGCCTAGTCACTGACAAGGTAGATTCACGCGAGCGACAAATCCATAGCCATCCCTTTAACCGAAAAGTCGTCTACAGCCTAAAATAGAGGACATCCTTTCCAAAGGAACCAGGAGTGAAAAGTCGCCAAAACAGGCCCTTTCAAAAAGCGTGTCCACAGTGTCGGGATGGAATGCCCGGGTCGAGGGCTAATTCCCACAAGGACGCGCGAACAGAGAAGGAGCAACACAAACAGGCAGAAAGACAGACAGACACAGCTGAGAGAAACAGACAGATAGACATCTGGGCTGTGCACCGAAATGCTCCTCAATACAGTGAGGGGACGGGGTGAAGGAAGGAGGGACATACCTTTAGGATAGCCATTTGCACACACACGTACACCAACGGCTGGATGACCTCTGCCTTCACCCTTGCAAATTCCTCTTTTTTTGCGTCCCCTCATCCAGCCGGGGGCACAAAAAGTGTCGTAAAGGATTTGTCAACGTGGAGTGGGGTGGAATTGCCTGTCAATAAACGTGGTAATACTCAAGTTTTCGCACGAGCAAGAGATCTTTTCCGTGTACTTCTTGGTCTATACGCTGGGTTTTTTGCTGTCGAGCTAGCGTAATGATTTACCTCCAAGCTAAGCTTGCTTAAGCGAAGCCGAAATCGAAGACGCTCAAGCTATGATAAAGCTACTTATACATCACGCTAAGCCTGAGATAATTTAAGCTAAAGCATGTCCAAGCCTAAGCCTAAATCTAAGGCGAAGCCTAAGCTTAAATTTAGCCCAAGCCTAAGAATAAACGTAAGCTTCATTCTACGCCTACGCCAAGTTCATTCCTGGTAGCGGGCCAAAGCCTAGCGTAAGCCTCGGCCAAATCCTCAGCCCAAAAAAAATAATTGAAACCAAAAAATGAAGAAGAATCACAGAAAATCACCAAAACTCAGGTTCGACCCCGGCTGTAAACTATGGAGGCAGTGATCCCCTTTGCAGATCCTCCTAAACAATACTGCGCGTAAAAAGTATAATCTGAGTTCACTTTTACCCCGAATAATATAATCATAAAGTATTAATAATACTTCTTTTTGGCAATAACTTTTTTGTTTTGCAAAAAATTTCGCCTTGAATTTTGGAAGCAGATAGCTTTCCACTTTCCACGACATTCGTGAAAATTTCAGAGTGAATGGTTGTAAAATGGCGCAGAAAATGCCAAACCTCTGGAGCTCACAGCGGGGGTGGGGCAGGGTGACTGGGGATGAGGGTCCTATTGGCTCCTGTCATTAGTGCACGTTTGGCGCAGTCGGTTAGGGTGCCGCCGCCATGCACCAAATGGCCCGGGTTCGATCCCCCGGTTGGGACAGAGGGTGCAATGATGCAATGTAGCTGGGTGCGAAAGAATAATGCGCGAAAATTACTCCTGAGTCCCTTTTTAGCTCCTCATCAAATAATGGATCTACAAAGAACCCACAAGCCTAATTTTCGCAATAGCCTAAGGATAAGCATAAGC